GCTTTCGCCCGGGGGAGCGGACATCGCCTCCGGCTTGGCAGCCTGGGCAGATGAAACGAAGATGTTATCTTCGTGCTCATCTGAGTCGGATAAGAGAACTCAGAGCATCCTCTTCATCCTCCTCCATATAAACACAACCAGCTCTAAGACATCCCCCGCGGGTGGAACCGACGGTGAGGTCCAGTCGGGATTCCCAGCTTGACACAGCGCAGGGCTCCGCTCTCGCAGCTCTCGCCGCCGCCCGGCCCCAGCCTGACACGGCACGGGGCTCCGACACAGCGTGGGGCTCAACCTCCGCTGCGGTCATCACCATGTCTCGATTGCCGGCCGGCGAATCAACAGACATGAAGAGGTCCTGTCCCGACAGGCTAGCTTGGTGCGCTAGCCGTCGGCGGAGGCTCTTGGTGGTGAAGCGGGCACAATGTCCGCACGAACCGGGGGCATTGATAGCCTCCTGGGCGTGTTCCAGCCCAAGGCAGGACGAGCAGACCTGGTGTGAGTTCGTGCTCGAAATCTTAAACCCGCAGCCGCAGAGCCGAGTCTCCGAGCCTCTGTCTCCTCCGGTGTGAGGGAGAGAAGGGTCCATCCTCGTTACCAGGGTGTCGGCGTGGAGGGACAAACTAGTAACAGGTATGTTACCGTTTGAAAGAAAAAATCAAAACCTCATCGTTATTCCGAAAGGAAAAAACGGCGGGCTGATTTTTAATATTAACTGGTGTGTTAATATCTTTTATCTCCGTCTCCTCTGGTGTGAGGGAGAGAAGAATCTGTCCTCGCTCGCCGGGGTGTCGGCGTGGAGGGATAAACTAGTAACAGGTACGTTACCGTTAGAAGAAAAAATCAAAACCTTACCGTTATTCCGAAAGAAAATACGGCGTGGCAGATTTCAATATTAACTGGTGTGTTAATATTCAATTCAATCTTCTTGCAAAGCAAGAGTAGCCGGCAAGCGCCCGTCGACCGAAAGTTAGCTTGTGGTTCAGTCTGTGGACAGTTAAGCTAGCCCGGCTACTGATATTTTGAGATGTGCTCGGAAGCGAGAAGAGGTGTTTGAATGATGCTGCGACGTAGCGCAAGCTACTTATAGAGTGGGTGGATTCCCTGACGTAGACGTCAAGATCACCAGCCAATCAGGATTGGCGTAATGAGATTGATGCTTCTGTTTGCATACGCGTTGAGGCGCATCCCATAGTGAGACATCGAACGGAGTGTTATGAATGAGAACATAAACTGCCACATGCATGCTTACAGACATTTATTTTTGAATATTAAAGCCACTATAAAACAATTCACAGTTACTCCTTAACCTAACAATAAAACGTATACTAATCTTATTGTAATTATTTAAATAAACGTGAAAGAAGCTGCCGTTACTGTTGTTGCAATCTTTCCCGCTGAAATTATGTTCTAAAGAAGGTTGGCATGCCCCAGTTTTTTTTCTCAGGAACCACAAACAGGTTTCTGCGAGAGAGTGTCAATACTGTAGCGAGTCAGAGTGATCACTGTGGTGCAACTACAGTACGTTTTCTCACAAAGAGGCCGTTTGTTTTCTGGCAACATTCCACTCTGCTGACCATACCTGCAAGTAAAACTGGATGAGTAGGTAGAATATTTGGAAATAAGAGATATATAAGATAAGGCCTTCCATGTAAAACACCCTGCTAAGGATATTTTAATAGATTGAAAATAAAAAAGGTTGTTAATAGCATACCTGTGATTCACTGTGCTTCAGGCTACAATCTATCACCACTAGCATAGGGCGGGCCTTATTCTCACTGAACCTCTTCTACCGTCATCACACTGCAGTAATAGTATGTCAAAAGAAAGAATAAACATTGTGAGAAAGGACAAAGGGTCAAACTTTTTCAAACTGAAGTTTTCTTTCCTTTAATAAATGAACATTTGATAAATTACATTTTTTTAGTTGCAACCGTCACAAAAATACATTTTGTTGAATGGATTTGTAGAAAGGATTTACTTAAACACATCAAACCGACTGTGAAAGAAACATGCTCGGTACAGCTGTAGTTTGACTGTTAACTTCTATGGCACATTGAAGTGAATGGCAACTACTGCTGTACCGAGCGATGTTACTGGCGTACAAAAAAAAAAGAAATAATGGGCCCAGATCATATTTTCACTTAAAAGTAATCCCAAAATACAGCGTGTAAACAGAAATTCTACAAAACTGGCAAGCAACATGTGTGCAGAAGAGTTTTGCAATAATTCTGCGATAGGACTTGTAATTAAAAATGGCAGTTATGAAATCCACCTTTTGATTACATAACACTGAGTAGGCCTACATTGAAAATAAAAATGTTTAATTTACAAACTCGGTCTGTCCTCTGGTTAGGTTTGTATTTAGACATCAATTTAACAAACGTCATTCTCACCAGCATATATTATTGTGACAAAAGAACATGATGCAGAGTAAAAGACAAAAATAAACATCTTTACAAAATAAATCTTTACAATTGTTGCGAAAAAGTGCTTCATGAGCGTCCAACTGTCTCACATTTATTTTTTAGTACACACGTTGAAATATTGATCGTGAATTGATCTGATTTTTATCTACAATTCAAATTTGAACCAGCAATCCCACTAAAATCACAATATGCATAGTTGTGATGTGGCAACGTTATTTACGCTGCTGCTGTGAGGCTCGGTTAAAAACAGCACCAGCAATGATTGACATATGCCTGGGGAAGATTTCACGCAGCTCTGTCATCATGACTGAGTCTACACCAGGTAGTGACAGCCTTCAAATTAAAGACAGGAGGGAACAGCACGGTTGGAAGTTTAAAATACTGGATCCTTTCCTTATATAAAAATGATGGTCTTGGTAGGTTATGAAAACCCAAAACTTACAGTAACAAGACAAAGTCAACACTAAACCAATTCCAACAAAACAGTCATGCGAGAAAAAAGCGTTTCAAGTTCAATTTGATTACAAAGTGTTCCGAAACTTCATTAGAACCAAGGTGGCTTGAATTTCCTCTTACACAGAATAAATAAAATGTCCTTCGTTTCTGTTAAAGGCGTGCATGCTCCAGTCCTTAGAATAAGACATCTTCATGCTCAATCATCAGCTGCACCACCAGTTTCTGCTGCCTCATGTCATTCAGGGTTATCAAGGCATTCTGCTCCGGCGGCTGCATGAGCGTTGGACCATAGACGATCCCCAGGTTCTCAGAACTCATTAAATTGTCCTTTGCCAACTGTGTCACCCTGTTAAAAAACGATAACTGGTTATTAAGGAGACTATAATAAGACAAACTACAAAAAGAGGGACATGGGTAAAATATTAGAATCTTGCATAATTCCCTTATTTTCCACAAATACCCTGAAAGACTGTCGTTAGTCCATTTCCCAATACTCTAATTCTGCTGTACTTTTCTGGGGGAAACATGATTTACAAAAATGTTTATAACAAGCTAAATACCGGTCTTAAAAACAGCTGGGCACTGTGATTTTATGCTCAGGTGTAACATTCTGCTGACTATTTTCTTATTAACACATTCATATCTTGAGGAACAATACACAGGAGGTGATTGAGTATTTATAGAATAATTATGGCGTAACTAGGATCAACTTAAAAACTAATAACAGTAAAGCATTACTTGTTTTAGTAGGAATGATTTATTGTTGGCTTCAGTCTTTGTAAAGAATTTGGATTTGAACTGACCTCTTGAGGTGAGCCATCAGGTATCGTAGGGTCTCGTAGTGGGCTGGGGGAAGCTGCAGCAAACTCTCGTGAATGGCCTCCAGTCTGGATTCAGCATTTGGAAGTTCTACATGACAATAGAAACATGATTAGTATCAGAGCGCTGCAGGGTACCAATGACACAGTGATAGCATGGAATAGCCCAGAGTGGAGAAGCTCTTACTTGCAGATTGAATAAATTTGGAGTACAAGTCAAATGTGATGACTGGAATGGGAAGATCTCTCAGGTAGAGCTTCAAAGCACCAGCAATGATGTTGATATCTGCATAGGCACTGGCGCTGATGTCAGCCTTATCCCCATCTGTTGATGAGAAAAATCTAATGATTAACATGTCATTTTACATTTGGATACAATTATAAATAACTGCTGAAGTTCCCGTGTAGTTCACAACATAACTTGTTGTGCCGTGCTGCAGCTGGAACAAGCTCCTCATTTAAAAGTATGAACCCGTGAACTAAAACCTCAGAGACCAGTAAGATCCTGGGGCAAATAAAAAGATGTCAACAAACCTCGGTCAAAGGCGAGCCTCACTTCCTCTATGTGCTCTGAAAAGCCAGACACTCGATAGAGGCCCTCAGAGTTCATACCTGCAACAGACAATTGGGAAGCTTGTCTCAGTCTTTCAGGGGATTTCTTTCTCTAAATCACCCCACATGCATCCCATTATGTGCCATAAGCAGCTACAAATGAACTGGAGGAAATGCAGGCAACTATCCTAACAAAGCTGAATATGACATTTCTAAGTAAACAGAATACTTAAATGTTGGAGTTAAGCATGTAATAATCTAAATGTATGAACAGCTTTCCTTTCTCTGAAGTGATTGACAAGTTAAAATGTCATGACTGATTTACTGCTTTTTACCTCTCAGCTCTATCTCTCGAATGCACATGTCCACCACCATGGGTCGGGTCGTGTTATGAGCTTTGACCAGTGTGGTGAGGTCACAGCTATACACTTTCTTTATCCTGCGCAGGTCCGGCTGGCAGTCGCTGGGAACCAGTTTGGAGCATTGTTTGTGTACATTCAGTCCACAATCTAGAGGAGCACGAAGGCAATACATAGAGAGAGGGGGAGAGGGGGAGAGGGAGGGATTAGCTTCAAACTGATGATAACACAACCATCACAGCAGGCTTAAGACAGCACAGTGATGATAAACTACACTGTCAGACAGCACAGCCGCAGCTAAGCTGTCTCCAGCTCAGCCAAAGGTAGATAACAGAGAACATGATGGCAGCATGGGCGGGGGTTCTTTGAGCTAGTTTAGCCACATTAAGTGTGCTGGACAGCTGTGAAGAGCGGAGTGGGTGTGAGAAGTATGTCTGCTTGAGTTGCTGCTTAACTTTGAAATGAAGGTTTTGAAGTAGCAATGTTAGTCTGACTGAAATCGTTCATCACAAAGACGTTTTTACCGCCTGAGCGATGTTAACGCTTGGCTTCTGATTGCTCTCAGTCAGTGGTTGCAGAGAGTGTAGCAGGAGATAAGAACAAAAATGAAGGCCAGATGGAGAGAGAGAGGACAAAGAATTATGTCCAGTTTCTCATAGCACATGAGGTGTCTGATGATACCAGTGTTTGCCTCTGGCTTATCAGCGTAGCAAAACAACAAACACTCTGTTTAGGAAGAAAGCCACGGAGTACACTGCTGTGCACATCGGTTTCATGACTGTCTGAGCAGCAAACACATCTTGTGACCATGGAAGACTGAACTCTCACACGCAATCAATCACTTAGATCTGCTGCTATATTTGGTCCAAATGTACACAACATTTGACCTGTGTTTAACCAGAATGATATCATAATTTACAAACATTATGCGTGGTAAGTCATGTTTATAGAGAAACATAACTTGTAATCAGATGAACGACATCAGCTTTAGATGGCCTTTTCTTTGCACAGCAACCAGTTACATGGAATTATAAAAGAGCATGTCAAAACATCTAGTTGCTTCAGAGATGTGTTCTCTACTGTTGCCTTTAGTTGGCTCATTTATTTAAACTGGTCTTTGTGTTGACTCTTCTGACTGGTGTTTGCAACTGCCTAATGCTGCTTATGTTTTATTGTTTGTTTATTTGATATTGTCTTCTTTTAAAATATATATATATAATTTCTGATCTTTTATGAGGTTCTATGCTAAATAATTTATTTTGATTACTTTCTTGACTGGGATCAAACAATCTTGTGGGGTGGTTAATCACAGACAGGAGGATCCCAACATGTTCATCACAGATTTTTAACCAGAAAATAACCATAACATTATAAAATGGGATCAATGATTGAAAAAGGGGAAAACCACTTTTTCAAACAACCTTCTTAACAACTGAAACATCCATGACAGAATAGAGTTATCTACAGTTCATACACTACTTGGCATCTCATTAGTGAAGTGATATTCTCTGTGTCATACATGACATGAAACGCTGATGTTGGGAGTGAATAGTTACCTGAGCAGCGGACACCCTGGGCGATGAGGCCCCACATGAAGTTGGCGCAGTACTCGCACCAGTGTGGCCCTCTAAAGGTGTGTACCTGGGGTTTAGAGAAGACATGGTTATTCATCACACAAACACACACCACACATTGCCATTCATTGCTATGCCCAGTCTAACCTTTTGATGTACTGGACAGAGATTACTTTGTGATACCAAGCTACAGTGGATGGGACCCCTCGCCAAATGAGAGCATTTGTTTATACAAGGCAGATTAAAGGATTTACTATAATGTGTCTGGCATCTGCTACTGGGCAATCGGATACATGCAGGCAGGCAGTGAGGCAAGCCTGCAAGTCAAAATAACAGATGTACAACGACTGTGCAAATTAGAGATAAGATGGTGAACGGTAGCCCCCACACACACACACCTTCACGGGTACTTGAATAGGTAGCAGTCGACTGCTGAGTGAAGAGGGCATATGGCAGGTGGCGTGTGGATGGTTTTTGTTCTCTTCCAAAGGGAGTATACAAAAAGCTTTGGGGGTCATTATATTCTGCCCGTTAGCTGAAACCCAAGATACAATTGCAAGAATGCTGGGGCGCCCAGAGGCAGAGTATCCCTAACTTCTCCTTTGTATATTTAAAGAACCATAACTCTTGACTGCTCTATACAATGGACCAAGCACTTACACTCTGAAAGAGAGCAGAGGACAATATCAGTCAACTCTATAACAGCTTTTTACAAGCACAGCTGCCTAAAACTAAGATGGATCTGTGAAAGCTTTAAGATCAATGCTAATCAATGTACTCTGCTAATGGCTTGCCATAGTATGCATTAGTTCCCCTCAGTGCACATGGGTGTCAGCTGTATGTGCGCTCATCAAACAGCAACAAATATTATGGTCTATGATGGGACAATCAACAAATCTGAGGCATCTGTAAATGCATCACTGTGATTACTTAACCACTTAGGAAAAGTGTGTGAGCCAAAAAGAAAATGCTGTAAATGTATGTGTTATTAGGAGGAATATAACTAAATTGTCAGCAGCCATTGAACTTTTGATCAGAAACCTACTCACCTTGAAGTTGTGTATCTTCTCATAGAAGCACTGCTTCTCCGGTGTATCTTTCAATGCGGTCCGTTGCACCAGAGGTGAGGAGATCTGTGGACAGGAGGCCAACAGTTTAATAGGCTTCCACAGAAGGGTTCCCTTGCTCCCCAGTTTGACTCCCAGAGCCAAAGCCAACAGCTGCTGACGCTTCCTATCTTGTCTTTTAGCCTTGTGTGAAATCAGCTCCCCTCCTCTGTTGTCTTCCGCATCCATGTTCAACTGATCTGGCTCCCACAGACTCTCCATCTCCTCTGGGAAAATATGTGGTGGCCGGACGTTGGTGCTGTGCAGCAGACGCTGCCGGCAGCAGCTCAGCGCAGACGAGGCAGCCACACTCCACTCCTCTGTGACCCAGGAGGGAAACTGATGACAGCTGGCACAGGGTTGACTCTGCATCTGGTCTGAATGCAGCAGCAGCAGCGAGCAAGAAGAGCTGGGGGAATGGGATTGGTAGTGGGCGTCCTGAGGGTAGGAGTGTACCTCACACAATGGCCCTCTTTCACACGCCCAGAAAGGAAAGAGAGAGAGAGAACAGGGTCCCTGATAGGGAGGGGCCAGGAGGTTTAGAGTGAGGGAGGTCGGGTGCTGTCAGGACCGCTTCATACAGCTCAACAGCTCAGTAAGGCAGGATCAATAGTGCAGACGCCCCCTTTTTATATCACAGAGTACATTCCCATTAGCACGCTGCCTTCCGGACACACTCCACTGCACTTAACTGGAGATAATACTCAACTGCCAGCAGCTCTGAGTCTAAAGCACCTCCCCCCTCCTCCCTTCTGTCAAGCGACTTTGTTAACCATTTTGAAAAAAAGGTTGATGATATTCGCTCTTTTCTTTTTCTGACTCACCTTTACTCACCGCTGGGTCACCAGACCCTCCCTTCCACAGCCACACATGCCTCCTTCTCCCCTCTCTCTCCAAGATGCAGGTTCTTACCCTCGTTACCTCTGGCCCGTCCTACCACCTGTTTCTGGACCGCTTCCCTCAAACCTCCTGCAGACTATCGCTCCTGATTTCTTACATTTCTCCACCCATCCCCTTCACCAACACTTCTCTAACTTCTGGTCATCCCAAACAGTCCTCAGGAGCCAAAGAGTAAACCCTCTCCTAAAGAAACGCCACTCTCAACCCGTCTGATGTTATTAACCTACGACCCGTCTCTCTCCTCCCGTTCTGTCTGAAACACTTGAACGCGCCTGTTTTTAACACAACTCCTCTTATCTCCATCAGAACACCTCTGGATCCCGCACCAGTCTGGTTTCAAGGCAGGTCACTCACGCACAGAAACTGCTCTCCTTTGCTGTCTCTGACCAAAAATGCACACTGCTAAAGCAGCCTCCTCTCCTCTGTCATCATCCTTCTGGACCTGTCTGCTGCATCTCGACCAGGTGACCGCATCAGGATCCCTCCTTCGCACTGTCCAAGAACTTGCGAGTTTCACGGCACTCTCGCAACTTCCCTCCTCACCTAATACCTCAATCGACCGCACCTACAGGGTATTGGAGAGGTCGAGTCCGACCCTTGTCAATTTAACTACAGGGGTCCCTCAGGGCTCGGTTCTTGGTCCCCTCCTCTTCGTCCCTGTTACACAAACTCGCTCGGGTCTGTCATTAGCCCGCATGGTTTTTCCATACCACTGCTACGCTGACGACACCCAACTAATTCTGTCCTTTCTGTCCCCGCTCAGAGACCAAGGTCGTCGCACGCATGCTCTGCTTGCCTAGGCAGACATCTCTCTGGTGGATGTCTGCTCATACACCTCAAGCTCAACCTTGACAAGACTGAACTGCTCTTCCTTCCGGAAAGATTTCCACTCTATGACCTAACAATCAACATCGGCACCTCTGTTGGTTTCCCCGACTCAGACTGCAAGGAATCTGGTGTGGTCCTAGATAACAAACGCTCCTTCACTGCAAACGATCGCATGCAACAAGCCGCTGCTGCGATATCACGCTTTACAACATCAGGAGGAATACGTCCCAAGCTGACCCAGACATCAGCGAAGATTCTGGTCCAGGCTCTCGTCATCCTCACGCCTAGACTACTGCAACTCCTCCTGGCTGGTCCTACATGCATGTGCCCATCCGAACCTCTGCAGCCTCATCCAGAATGCAGCGGCTCCGTCTGGTCTTCAACTTCCCAATTCTCCCCACACCACACCGGGCTCCTCGCTCCTTCACTGGCTTCAGTAACTGCTAGAATCCACTTCAAGACACTGGTACTTGCGTCCATGCTGCGAATGGATCTGGCCCTTCTACATCCAGGACATGTTAAACCGTACACCCAGCAACGTGCCACTCGCCTGCACAGGCCAACAGCTCGCTGCACCCGCACTGCGAGGGGGACCCAAGTTCCCGTCAGCAAAAACACGTGGGTTTGCTATCCCTGGCTAATGGTGGAATGACTCCCCATTGAAATCAGGACTGCAGATAGCTTACACATCTTCCGACCAAACTGAAACTCATCTCTTTAGAAACTCCATCGAGCGATAAAATTACTAACAAAAGCACTATATACTAATAAAGGGCTTGGCTTTTTAATGCCAGTTGAGTAGCACTTGAAATGGTTTTGGCTCTATGAACACCGATGTACTTATAATGATTCCTGTTTTTTAAAGGTTGTATCTTCCTGGTCGAATGCACTTATTGTAAGTCCGCTTTGGATAGAAAGCGTCAGCTAAATGCAAGTATGTCAGTGCTGGTCTCAATAAACGGTCCAGGCTACTGTCTCAAAGACTGACCAAAGATCCCCTGGCCGCCAGAGCCGGGGCTGTTGTCCGTAATTCAAACAGATATTGACCTCCAGCTTATGACAACAGTTGGCTGGTGAATTCCCCACACTGCCGTCAGACTGGATCTTCCAGACACTCTGACTGCAGACTAACTTCCGCAATCACAATCATCGTCTCAGAGAACCAGCAGAGCCTAGCCCCATCAACGGGATTGGGGGGGGGGGGGGGTTTTTTAGGATTGCTGCCATAATCCTTACACAGGGAATAATCCTGCAGTGCCCAAATCCAAGTAAAATCCCACAGCAGGCTCATTTGCCGGTCCGCAATCATGTACTATTTTGGCAGTGGGGGGCTGATGCTGTGTTCATGTCTGCTTGTAAACAACCATTAAACTGCAACAGAAGGCTTTTGGCTTTTCTAATTAATCAAGAAATCCTGAACGTGCATAATGCTGACAACAGAGCAGACTACATGTTAAATAACAAGCTTCTGCCAGAGATTGAGTCAAACAGCTATTTTACAGAACAACTCATCCTTAACATAGAAAAGCTATCACGAAAAAAAGAAGGGTGAACTGATTTATCACACAGAGGTCATAAAGCCAGTAAGCATTGGATGTGTGAGGATAAAGAGCTGGAGAAAAAGTTGAGTGGTGAAGGGGAAAGCAAAAAGACCCAAGGGGCAACTGCAAAGCTGAGATAAAATGAAAGGATTGGCAGCTTTCTGACACAGCAGCAAAGTAAAAACATATTGCTCAGGGCCTTTCGTGTGACAGCTAGTTTTCTTTGTCTCTAGCGTCTGGGACAACATTTAACTGGCTGATGGCTGCGAGAGTGACAGGACAGGTGAAGATATCTGTTATTGTGGTGGACATTCCCTAGGAGACCAACACATACCATACCATACAATGCGTCTCTACAGCTAAGTCTGAGGGGGCAGATGAGGAATAGACCACTCTGAGATATTTTAGCCCTGCAAGGTTAGAGGGAGGGAGGACGAGGGCTGAGCTCTTTGTCTGTAGGCAGATGGCTTCTTGTCTCTTAAAGAAGAGCTTGAAGAAAAGGACACAAAAGGTGGTCACACAACAAGCCATGCTCTCTTTTTACTGGCTGGGCTCTTTATCGCTGGAGGCTTTGTGAGAGCACAGCTGAGAGGACTCTGTTGTGACGGAGTACTTGGAATTATGGGAAAATGGCACAGTGGGCACTGACACAGTGAGACAAGAGGATACAACTACCCACATCCCAAACAAAAACAGCCCTAACAACATCTCTTACAAAAAGAAAAATAGACATACTGTGAAGGGTACAGCAGTCAAAGATAAAGACTATTATTCAAAAATGGAAGAAATTGGCACTTTTGACACCACTGGAACACTGGAAATGGATGTATTTCTCTGTGTCTGCAACTGAAAAGAAAGGTCAAACTGTGGTGTGTACAACTACAACACATAATCAGCTTTTTTTTGCATTTTTATAGCATAACAGGTTATTATCCACAAACAACATAACAATTTATTTTGGAAACCTTTTCAGGGCAGGCGAGCAGACAAGGATGTCAAGAGAGCCCCATTGAGATTAAACCAGTGTGGCGAGTATCAGGAGAAATACAGGCAGTTTCTGGCCACTGAGGAAAGTCCGTCACATGTAAAGAGGTGATTCAGGAGGATGATCTAAGTGTTGGGTCAAGTACTCCCCCTCAGCTTCTGGGAGTATTTTAATTACACAAGAATTTGCAGTCATGGCCATATGGTGGTGTCAACCTGACGCTGAGTAAATACATGTTAATGTTGACTATACAGTGAAGCTACTGTGGCTGTAAAGCCTCAGGGCGTGGCTGTGTAATCGGTAAACATGAAGTTCAGAAAAGCTACCATGGATTTGAGCCGTCAGGCTGGGTCTCTGCTTCTTGGACGTGTAATATTGGAGAGGACAGAAAGCGTTTTTCTCCTTTGCCTGGCATATCGTTTTAAACGCTTATTAACAAAGCCTCATCACAGCGATCACTGACCCAGATCCTCATGTGTAAATCTTGGCAAGAGGATCATGAAGTCAGTTTTACACAAGCGCCAACACAACTGACAGTGTGACATCTAGACAGAGAGGTGCTCCAGATTTACTAGCCAAGTGAAGGTTAATTGGAGGCGGCAGTCCACAACATTTCAAACATTATAGCTGCAAATCAAACAGAGTGCAACAATTCTGGACACTGTTCAATAACGCACCGTGTTAAGCAAGCATAGTTTAGTCTGCATGTCTTGGGGGGGGGGGGGCTAAAGGGCTTCCTCGAGGTTGGTTTAGGCATGTGTAGCTCTAAGCTAATTTGAAACCACAATAAATCAATGGATTGCTGACTGACCGATGGCCATAAGCATTAACGGTTCATGTTTCAAGTGACAGAGGCCCGCAGCGGACACTCCTGCTGACAGGGCTGCCATGTGTCTGTCACTGACTGACAAACCACAGGCTGACATTTGGGAGACAAACAATCCCCAAAGCAAAACATTTGGTCTTCAAGCTGAGACATCGCACAACACCCTCAGATTTAATCCGATTCCAGTTTTTATCCTATTTGGGGTTCTGTCATCTTTATGTTGTTATGTGGCCCATTTATTGCTGTGTTTTTATGTTATGTTTTATGTTTTCTATAGATTAATATATCATTACTTGTATTATTATTATTATTATTAGGACACAGTTCATCAAATCTCTGGAGAAGAAAATATAAGTGTTGTTCTCAAAAAAGGCTGGTTGTGAAATGCCATGATGAATGGTGGAAACAAGTTAAGATTGCCCTCTAGTGGAAGGATAGTTAGGATTCATCTCCAGCTAGAAAACAGTCATTCCTCGTTGATAAATCATTCACTGACTTTAATCCCACAACAGCTCATGAGCGCCGGTGAATACAATGTGCAATTTGTCCCACCAGTGATCATTGTGTCTGATATGCATGGCAGGCAGAGCAAAGTCCCAGTCCCCTCGGTCATCATTACCTTTTAGAGGAAGCAACCAAGCATGGCAGCAGTGAACACACCCAGGGGCCACATGGATACTGTACGTCTCACTCAAAGGACAAAGTGTCCTCTCTCAGTGAAACTCTCGTTCTATTTGAAGTGTAAGGAAAACGTGCAACAGCGTGGAAGTAGATCAAAATCATGGTATTATACAGTGTCACTGGGCTGAGGGACATCTATCAGATAGTTTACAGCTGCCAAGATGACTAAGAGATGTTTCTGATGGAGATGTGGTGGTCAAAAAAAATCTAAACATCTAAATGTAAAATATTGCTTACTCTGACTATAACGACCGCATGTAATCAAAGTGTTTGGTGTGGAATTAAGAGTATATGAGATTTTGATGAGAAATAAAACACTTTAACATTCAATAATGAATAACAATCTTTAAGTCTGAAATAATTAGTAAGCACTCTTAGAAGCGTTGTGTTAGCAAGGATGATGGAGATGGAGCTGGAGATAACACTTCTATCTTTGAATCCATTGATTATTTTTCTTTTGTTGATTGAGCCACTAGTTATTTCTAAAATGTAAGATATAAGTATAAAAGGCCCCTCACAAGGATGCAACTTCAATTGCCAATACTCAAGGATATTAGAGCAATAGGTTGACATTTTGGGAAAACTGCTTATTTATATTCATGTTTGACAATTAAATATATCCTATTCTCCTGCAGCTTGACTGCTAACCTCACAGGGAAAATGAAACTCAGGAAGTTACTGATCCCAGTCAGTAAATAGTTTGGTACTCAACCGGCTATTACATCCAGATACTGTATGTCCCTTTTGAACCTTTTTTTGGTAATTAACTAATTGAAAAACATGTTGGTAGTGGTCCCTAAAGGTGCAAGTATCTGTATTTTGTTAGCTTTGGAAGGAGAGAGGCTAGTTGTTTGCATGTGTTTCTAATTAATGCTAATTTAAGCTAACCGGTTGTAGTTATATATTTTCCCTGCAAACATGAGTATTGAACTTTCGGCTAGAAAATGATGAGCCCAGTTTGCCAAATGTCAAACTAACCTCTCCACTTTAAAAACTGACAGCAAAATTAAAAAAAATTAGCATTTGAGAATGATAAATGATTTCAAAATGATTTATTTAACTACATTGTTGACTTATTTATTTTCCACCTTTTTATCGAATAATTGACTTACATTTGTTTTTTTCTAATTGAAGACAATATCCAATAAACAATAGCATCTGTGAAGCAGTGCTTTGATCAACGACACTTCAACAACGTATGGATGCTTGAACTCGGTACCTTCCAGACAGCCTCTCTTACAGCTCCACACAAAAGAACATCTAGTAATGAAACTCACCCTTTCGTCTCTTTGGAAGGTGACCCTGCGTGGCTCTGTGCGTTCACGGCTCAGCCTGTGCACCATCTTGTCCTTGAGCAACGAGGTGTAACCAAGATGTTCGTAGATGGGGTTAGTGGTCATCTTGGCGATGTACTCCGCCGCCTTGGTCTCGATGTAGAGTGTGATGAGGGCGTCTGTCACAAGGTCGTGAACGGACTCAAACCTCTTCTCCCCGACAAAGTGCTTCCCATCGTAGAAAAGTCTGTAGTTGAGGGTCTGGTGCCCAAATCTGAATCGAGACACAAGACAAGAGGGAGTAAAGCTGAGCAGGGATGGAACCGTTAAGTGTGGATGAATAGAAATGAACCGGAATGATTGGAGACAGAGCAGGGAATGGGCTGATGATAGGACCGGGATTCTGTGCTGAATACTGATGCTGATTCCTTACTGACGGAGTTGGTACCTTAAGGCCAAGGTGTGTGTCCCTGGCTGTCTTTGGCTCTCCCTGATGAGGTACGCACCCTCTGCTCCCACTAGAAGCTCATCGGCATATTCTCGAGAGATCATGCCATGAAACCTGCAAAAAGAAAATACTTCTAAATATGCCTCCAATGTGATTTGATCCTAAAATACACAGATTTACATTTTGGATGTTCCCCTCAGGCTCTTACCAAAGCAAGAGACACACATATGCACACAATACACATCCACCCACTTGAACCTAAACCACATCTGATGCATAGCAGTAACGCTAAAAAAAATCATTGTCTGCAGAGTAATATTTGACAACAAAGGCATGAATATATGCGTAGTAAGTCACACTCACTCTCTGCCGTAGTATTTGGGTCTGCTCTCCATCTGTAAAGCAGAACAAGACATATTGGCAGGAGCAACATGATATAAAAGCTCAATTAAACGGCTTTGTGAATTGTTCTTACAGCCTGTGTGGAAGATAAAGGACTCCACAGCACAGGGTAGATTATCTCCATCTGTGCCCCCGCGTCTATTCGCAGCTACCATAAAGCCAAATAACAGAGTGTGGAGGTGAATTAGAGGCAGTGCAAGAAAACAGCCGGTGAGAGATGGCCAGATGCAAAGATTTAATATTTAGTGTGTTACTGTGTCGCCCCAGTATGTGTGGTGTGTGGGCATTACCAATCAAACAGTACAGCTGGAAAAAATGTGTCATTTTCTACATGTCATCTAACATTTTACATTTTCAGAAACTCCTTTCATTCCCTTTAACTGAGGATAGTTCAAATCTCTTTTAAAACTGACAGTCATGATCATAATGAATTTGGTATAGGCTAAATTTCATTTTGTGCTTGGTCTTTACGGGCAGCCACAATCTCTCAGAGCCAGCCCAAAACTTTGGCTTCGCTCATCATAGCATAGCAAGAATCAAAATAGGATGAGACATGCCTCATTTCTGGTGGGCTGTACAATAGAAGCTTGACAGCTCTCCCAGTGAGGGCTGCAGGAACAAGAAGAACAACTTGTCTCTCAGCTTTATTCACAAAGATGAATTCAAAGTGTTCCTGTTGTGTGCACTATAGTGACTGTACTCTGTAAGTCATGTGCCCGATGAAAATTGAAACAGGTTTTTACTTCCTGTATTTGTTCCATCTGGAACTCTTCCTGATGTTCTTCCCATGTAAGTGAAGGGAGACAAAATGTAACACAAATGTGTTCAACATTTTTATTTTGCTTCACTTCAGCTGTTAGTTATACAAGTTTATATCATCCAAAGTTACAGTGTTATCAGATAAAAAGTCCCTTGTCTATAAAATAGTTGTGAACCTATTCTCTTCCATCTTAGCATATGACTGCAGTTCTGTCCTCCATTCAGAAGAGACCAAATTAAAGACATATGAAGTCCCAGTGAAACAGAAGCTTCCTTGTTTACAGTATATACACCGATTTATTAATAATTGTTACTAGCTTACGTAAAAACGTAACATTTCTGTTTTACGGAGGAAAAATGATTGTAATGTGAAAATGTTGAGATATTTTTGCGTATTTAGTTTGGTAGATATTGTTAAACAGGTTCATAATATTACTGTACCAGGGTTGTGATCTTGAAGGGTTAAAAGTAAATTTCACATTGCCTATGGGGCAAATCATAAACCATCAAGTTGGAGCATTGCACTTGATTTTCTAATTCTAGCACAGCAGCACACAGTTTAAATAGTGACTCCTGAGGTGTGGGAGTTACAAGAAGCAGCAAGTCAGTCCCCATAGCTGACTGATTGGTCTGGCTTCCAGCTGCCAAACTCAATCACTTATTTCTGAATGTTTTCAGGCTGCAAACTGCAGCTTGGCTCTGGTGTGGTAGAGGTCAGAAGTCTACCAGACTATGACAATATGAAAAATATGAAAAATAAGAACGCTAAATAAGTTATTCCGCTATGTTTTGACGTTATTTGGTTTTTCTGTGTTCTTCTTATTCATAATTATAATAAATTTTATTAATATTTTGTGAAGCAAGTTGCTTTTTCATATAAGTATAAACATAGATTAAGAGGTTGTTATTACTAGGACATCATTGTCATTAATAATAAAATACCTAACAACTGATGTTACACGCTCCTCGGTTGGGAGGTATTACAGGTTTTCTATTTCGAATAAAGGAGACTCTGGTTTTATATTTTAACTATGTATTTATAAAATATAAAAAACAGCAACACATACCAATCATTTCAGCCCTATACAGTAGCCCATTGTATACAGCTTTACAGATGTACTGACCTCCTGAGGACATGTGATCCTCTTTGGTCTCGGGGCTTCCTGCTGTAGCTGGTACACTGTTAGAGAAAGCAGGGATTGTAATTAAGGCCCTCGGAGTGACGTACACAGCTCAATGCAAGTTGTAATTACATACATTCTGTAGATTTGTTACCAAAATAGCAACCTCTACAAACACATAAGAAGTAGGAAACTAAATGGAGCAGAGCAGCTTCCAGACGATGGACACTCCTCAATCAAACACAATCTCCATTTAGTCTAGCTCTGACTCAAAGGTAACAAGGAACAACAGGAGCCATTAGCTTACAGTATACAGACTAAGGAGTCAGAGGTTTACATGGTCATACATCTGCAAACTATTTGTGTAAATCAAGACCTTTTGTTCACTTACCTAATGTGCACAATGCTGCTAAACCCAAATATGTACACTTCTAAATACACACATGCTGCAAATCCAAGTTTCTCTGTATTACAGTAGATGTACTTAAAAGATCGGGAGAACTTGAAATAAAATCTGAATCAAAGTGAAAATGGAATTAAAGGATTTTTGCCACTCTGAGTAATCACCTCAGCAGCTTCACAGAATCAGTACATTACAATTAGTGATCCAAAAGTGAGAGAAGCCAAGGCGCTGCTGCCGTTTTCCTGAACAGGATGTCTGTGGGGATAGAAATATTACACCAACGGAATAATCAGTAGCTAAATGTGGTTATTTCTCTTTCTTAATACGTCAAGAAGTTGCGTTTCACTTTTATCTGACAAGCTGCCAAATCCGACTCTATAATAGCCCTTTCTATATTATCAGTCTTTACTGCTTTATACTTTAATGCTCTCACTCCTAAATGGACTTTTAGCAGTCTATCATTTTGTAATATGTGGAGGAGGGCTGAAGACTAAAACAATGTCCTCTTTTTTTACAACTAGTAGAGTAACATCAGTGAGTGCGGTTTAGCTAAGTGTTCACAGGAGCAGATCCTCCATGCAGGGGGAGGAAGACTCCTCACTGTGAATGTTCATGTTTTGTCAGGCTGACTTAAGCCAACCAGCAAGATCTGGACATCATTCATTCCTGTGACACACTGAGCTCTAAAAATACTTCAGCTGAGGACCAGAGGAGTCAAGGCAAGATGGGAGGATTCAGAAATACAGCATTTTAGGAGAGAATATTGGGAAGGGATGTTACAACACAGGGGAAATGAATAAAACAGATTTAAAATGTACCTGGTTAAAATGTAATCAAGAACAGGCAGTTCCCAGCTGAAATGATGTGTGCTCTGCTTTAATAAAGGCCCTATATTCTGATTCCTAACCCATTTCCTCCCACATGGCAAAAAACATTGTATAATGAGGTGGGTGTACTGATGATCTGTTTTCAGCTAAGCCTCTTTGCAGGTAGAAAGTCATATTTTTATCCCAGTGATGGTAACCCAATTTACTCAGCGATCAGGAATCCGCTGCTTTGCATTTGTGAATGTGTTGTGTGGGCGTGTGTGTTTGATTGTGTGCCTTTTATGCTTGTGTGTATACAGCCTTTTGAAAGCTGCAGCATATATAATTGTACAACAAAACCCAATCCTTCCAATTATAGAAAAATGTCTCTGTTATTTATAAATCAAAAATAAATATGCTGTTATTTACAGAAATACACAAAAGGCCAAAGTCAGGTCGATCTCGTCAAAACATGGCTTACTGGCATATAGCATACATGAAATTACTCACAGTAGGACTTCCATATGGGCGGTTGGTAATCCTCAGGGTCTGTAAAACACACACATAAAGCAGGATTCTGTTATTAACTCGCAGTGGTATTTACAGACTGTGCCCTGTTTTTTCTCATTAAAATCTCTATTACTATCTCTTTCCCAGTGGAATGACTGAGAGCCCTTCACCATGGTCATGTCAACGTTGTTTACCTCTTTGTTACAATCATGCATATGGATCACACTATGCAGCTGCCTCCTGAGACGCAACATTGAATACACTTCAAGGACAATGAATACAGATGTCCGGATATTTTGCGAAACATCTTGTTGGCACACACCTGATCTGTATTGCCAGCATGGTCCCAAACAAACACACCAATCAAAATTAATGAAAGTAAATACAATTTAGAGCTCTAAACTCACGGTAAGACTTTCCGCTAAGAAACACAGTGGTTGATTTATGATCATGTGAACACATTCCTGAAATGTGATGGTGCTGTAACATTAGCTTGAAAAGAGTAAATGGCCTGTAGCAAGAGATAATTTAGTGTAGTACCCAGCGGCTAAAGTAATGACTTGCAATAAATATTGTCACTGAAAGAGTAAAAAAGTGGCCACATTTGCCATCGTACTACAGTGCCAGGAAGGTGTTGAAACGTATGGACCTCATTATGACATGAACGGCATATTTTACTCATATTATATCAATAATGTTGCCTTATCTCTCCACAACAACAACTTCATATGTTAAGGAAGATCAGAGAGATATGTTTAAAACATACGCAAAACACATTCAAACTTGCTTTTTTATATCAAGATGCTGTTTCGTAGGTCAATTGTAAACCTTGATGATAAAATAATGGTGTTGCAAATTAATGATGTGGAAAGGGACCAAATGTCAAGGCAAAAACAATCGGGTGCAAGATGGAAATGATATCTTAACTGCAGTGGACAAAGATCTTCACACTGTTATGCTCCACATTAATCATTTATTTATCTTTTCATATGATCAAGGCAATGCTTGACCTATAAGATCCTAATAAGGTGTCTGTATTATGTTACAAACAAAGCTATAATTACACATAAGGACATTTTTATTAACTCAACAGTTAAAACTTAAAGTAAGAAAATCATGCTCTCTCCACTGATCATCATTTCATGGTTTGATGCTATTAACAGTAGGCCTATAAAGCATGATTTCTTTACATGTTTTAACCCGTAGGCACAACTATGTGATTTTATATATCGAAATGTTACGGCAAGTCCTACATGTTAAAACAATGAGAAGATCACACAGCATCAAACATAGCGGCCTATCACAAAGACAGATGGCACTAGCTGCCAAATATTTAGTGTAATACCTCTCATTAAACTCCCAGCGCCACTGCTGAACGACCCAAATGATTGTGTGTATAATGAATCATGCTGGCCTTGAAGATACATGTGGCTCATTTCAAACATTCCTTTGCAGCCATCAGCAAATTGGTGCCACACCTCTCTGGCCAGAGGGAAAAAATAAAACACTCCTGAGAGAGGGAAAACCAGTGTGCACTTGTTGGGTGTGGGTATTGACGTACGGTAAGCAAAATTGTGAAACTTTCTCATAAATAGTATCACTCTATACGAATCTTAAAACTAGTTCTCCTAAAGTACTATTTTTACGCTGCTATGGACAATCTTGCAATAATGCCCATTTCAGTCAGACAACTGAGGTGGTTCTTTAACATGTTTATTAGAAGCAGCATAGTTGAGTTTGGCGTCTAAGCTCAGGTCTCATCACTCCACAGATATACATGGCACGATGTGTGATGATCAAATAACTAATAGCTGGGGTGGAAGCTGGGGTGGTGGTGGGGCAGGCAAGCAGCAGCGACGTGGAAGTAGCTGCAGAAATAGTAGCAGCAAGCAATGCATAGAGAGAGATCTGGCAGGTTAAATAGAGCGGCATATTAAGGAGACTCTGTTTGGTTGGTTGTAGAGTGGTAAGGGGCGTTATGTATGAATGCAGCATAAGTGCTCGAGTTGACTGCCTGAACTAGCTCGCAGCCTTCGCCCCATTCTATGGACAATCTGCACTAATGTATATAAATTTGTTTTTATATTCGGGATTGTGGGAAACGGTATTTCGATCTCTGTCTGTACACACAAGCTGGAAGATTGACAATAAAGTTGACTTTGACTTTTGACTAAAGTATGTTCATTATGATGCTATATTATATACAACCGTCTAACTGGCAGCACAGAAAAGGCAGCAGTCAGAGTGTTTCAGCATCATCTCTTCTCGTCACAACAGCGCTGTTTCTTTGGAAAGAGCTACATTAATTACACACAGTAAAGATAAGAGGTCCATATGGTCAAATGCTGAATAATTATGTAAATGATAAAGAAGCAGCTCTACTGAGAAGTGATAGTTATCGTTGTTACCAAAGCTCTTCACAGTCTGCCTTCAAATACAAATAAACAGGCTTCAGGCTCAGTTTGCTGGAGCTGTGTCACTGTGTATTGCACTGGCAACAGTTTGAAAGATTTATTCCACTGCGGCTTGTTTAAAAGGATGTGATTTCATCTGGTAGGCTGCCAAATAGTCGCTTTTCAATCGGATTCTTTTTAATGATGAATGGCATTTCTGTCTGGAGTATGGCCCGGGAAAGGAAGCTCTTAATGGTCGATTCTGACGCAAACACCGGCACTCACAAACACACACAGGCAGACACATTAGATACACTGTTCAGACCCACTTGCAACCAAGCATACACACACACACACACACACACACACACACACACACACACACACACACACACACACACACACACACACACACACACACACACACACACACACACACACACACACACACACACACACACACACACACACACACACACACACACACACACACACACACACACAGACAGAAAAAGAACATCAATAGGAATTTCTAAGCAGCTCAGAGTTTGTGCAGTCTGATGATCAGGGAGAATTTAAAATGCTGGAGCAGCCAAAGGGTTCTTCCCCTCCAAAAAAACAGATATTAATTGTGTTGTCCTCTATTACTCTCCAGTCAGAGACATTCAATAAAAGAATCACCGGCGGGTGTTTGCTAAGGTGACAAAGAGAATAGGTGATGAAGCTCACCTAAGACATTTATCCCCTGAGATAATGTCTGACGCCTGCGCACATGCTCACAAAAAAAAAGTGAACCGTCAGCACATAAAACAGTTACTCGAGTCGTGCTAAAAAGCTATGTATCCTGCTTTAGCCCTACTATTAGATACCACAAAAAGAACAAATGAAAAGAGTTGAATTGATAACTGTGGAATGTAAATGGCTGGCAATGTTATGACGCCTTTTTTTGGTGATTTGATATGAATATGCTGCATGATTAATAGGGTAATAATAGGTAAAGAGGTCATATGTAACTGATCATGTTTCCCAACAACATAAAATATAGATATCGAGTGGTTGTTGTATACTGTAACAATACATTCAATGTCTAAACAAAGATATACTATTACTATAACATTGAATTATATTTCATGCTAACATTTAATTGCCTTTCATAACTTTTACAACGTTGATTATGACAGAGGGATACACCAATTGCAATGGGGCAGTAACGTCCTGTTAGTGTGCAAATGGCATAAATAAATACAGTCTAATGTAACATTCTTGCACCATAAGAAAGGGCTTTTTGAGTTTGATTTGAAAAAATTGGTATCACCAGGATATATTGGACCATCATTTTTGTTAACACTACAAACAGAAATCCTTTTATTAAAATGCATTTGGGGCATTTCCTGTTTGTAAACACTTCTTCTGCCAGTATATCAGATCAAAATAGGGAAATGTTTGATGGACTTCAGTGATGAAAGATCTCTCCTCTTCTCCCTATACTAGTTATTAATTCATAGTTCATACTAGATGCGACTTCAAGGACCATCTGCAAACGCATGAAATACTGTCACTGTGCCATGTTTTCTATGCTGTCTAATTGCAAGATACTGGCAACACATCTATCCTAGACACTAAAAAGGTTGAGAACGAATCACAGACATGCTTTAAAAACAGGACTGTTTTCAAATCGGCCGAGTATACACACTCCTCACCAGAAAACGATAGATCAGGTTATTCTGTATGTTGATTTCCAGTTCAATGTCCAATGTGTTTATGTTCGACTCTACATGGTCTCATCTCTGTAGGGGTTGGGGTCTGAAGGTGAGTGAGTTTGTTTTGGTGGATCCTCCATCTTATTTCATTTCAAGCTATGAGAGTGCCGGGCAATAACAACGTCCTTTGTGATACCCATCTCTTTTGGTGAGAGATAGATCACACATTTTAACCCAGCATTTCTAAGGTGTTTTCTTCCTCTGCTACACAAAAACTAAACAAGCCTTTCAGACGTGGCTTCCTCAAAAAGAAAGTGCTATCTGGAACATGTATACGACTCTACACAGATTAATGTCTTGGAAGTAATGAGCACCTACATGTACATATTTTTATCCTATTTTTTTATTAAACTCATTTACACTTTAAAAAAGGAGAAAAATGTAATGTATAAATGACACAACACATTCTGGAGCACTCAGATACATGCAGGCCCTCACATAAAAGCACCTGCGGGCACAAACACACACACTGTGGTGTCAGTGGGATGCAGCAGAGCTGCAGCAGAGAGACCATCTGCGGATTACTCTGGTCCAAAACAGACATTTCAACACAGCCTTAGTGTTGAGTAGATAACATGTGACAGGTATCAGGGTGCCTCTCTCAGACATGTTTGTGTGCAACTGGGCTGGACTCCACTCCATTGGGGAAACGGTTTGTTCTTTTTCATTGAGAAGAATAAGATGAGAGTTTAGATGAGCTTTTAAAAGCACAATTTAGTTATCTGCCACAGAGTCTGTATATGTAATTAATACAGGCTTGGCTACTGGGATATGTTGAACTACAATTGAACTACTTGTGGGACAAACATTCCCCTTGCTGATGCTGTAAAACACGCAGATAATTTTTAGTCATTCAGCATACATGACACAAATCCAGTCCGATGTGATTTATACTGGTAAGGACAATAATTAGATGTGGTGGAAAGATTTCGAGGTGAAGTGAGCCTTTGCCAGAAATATGTGCAGGATCGCGTCGAGCAGACAGCCTCTCGGTAAAACATGGCTGTAACTTTGCCTCTCTGACCAATGTTGTCATTTAAGGCATACTTTCATGCTCTATCCTTCAATTTATTTTCAAAGCTGTATTTCCTGGAGCCGTCTGGCAAATGGTGTGCTGCTGGTACAGTACATGCTTCAATGCCCTCCCATGCCAAGAATGTGTAAGAATCTCCTGATCTAGAACCATTTCCACTAAATATCTTTTCCAGGCAAACGAAGAGATTGCAAAAAATATGCTGCAATCCTTCCAGTTTTTATGTTATCTTATTATAACTGGACTCAAATGTTCAGGGTCTATCCATTATTATTCATGTATAGTGTTTTATACTGTGTGTATATAATGCAGACTAAATATTAAAATGTGGTTTGTGTCCATACCATTGTTGCTTCATTTCAATAATTAGCACAAAGTGCAGAAATATATCAATGTCTGTGCACATAATATAATTACAGTTGCCAATATCATAAATCAATACTCAGCACAAAAAGCTGCGATCATTGACAAGAGTTAAAATTAACCTTATTTTTCTCACACTACCCCAAACAGCCTCCAAACAAAATGACCTTCTAATCAGAAGCAGCAGAAATAACTTCACCAAAAGCACTTGGTTTGCAGCCAGAACAGAAAACCCTAATATGGAGTAGAAATTGATCCGAGATTCATTTTTGAGTCAAATGCCTCACAGACAAGATTATTCAAATGCTGTGTCTGACTTCCAAAGAGCTGCGTATGAAAATAATAATACCCTTGTGAGAACCCCTCCATCCCTGGCAGCAGCGCAGCTTGTAACCTCTGATAATTATATTGAGAGCCCAAAAGTAATGACAACCCTCCAATGCCACAGAGAGAAAAGAGTTTCCTCTTAAAGCAGCAGTGGTCAAACAGTAAATCTATTGCTTTCTGAAATGCACACATGAGATAATGCTCGGTGAAGTATGTGGTTGCCACAGGGTATATCAGCTTGGAAACAACTGTCTGTCCCTCCCATTGGGCAGTACCTAGGGAAATGTGACGCTGCTGTGTGGTGGGGTTGGGATGCATAGGGAGGGAAAACGTCAAACCAACATTATTTAAACTATACAATGTCCTCACCCTGTAATAAATCCTACAGCTTTGCCGTGCAATATTCAATCTTGTTTCTTTTATAGGCGTAAAAAGTCCCCACACATTTACTAGTTTCCTAGACTCCTCTTGGTAAAATGCAAAGTATAGGTGTAAACCATAGACTGTATATGGAAACAGCATATGAAACAAAATGCTGAGCCTGGTGTCATAAAACCTCTCCCTCCCATAGTCACACACACTGTCTCTCCCCCACGCACACCCCTGGATGTTGGCCGGGCTGCCACATCAAACAGTGCTCTGATAGTGGAGTTTGTACTTTATACCCTGGCAAACATGAGCAATGCGCTTTATCAACACAGAATAGGATACACACTGAGACAAGCTATTTAATTCTAGGTTTGTTTAAACAGCTGCTAACCCACTTTCGGTTCTCATTCTGTGAAAATTCAACCCTGAAATTACATTTTTACAAATTTGCAATAGGTGGGACTCACTGAGCTACATCTCATTATATGCAATGAGGATTTGATTGGAGTTTTGTGCACACTGTGGCAGTATGAACTGTAATATCGCACTGGAGCATAGCATATTAGAATTTTTTTTGTACAATGTCAGAAAATGTACTAGCCTGGTGCTGCGTTTTGGGAAATGGTAGCCTATAGGCCAACGATAATCCTACAGCCAGAGAAATTGAAAGTCAACAAGGGAGTTATGTAGATGATTGGCAATCTAATGATTACATCCAAACCCAACGTCAGGATGATTTTCACTGATCGTTTGAATCCTAAATCACAGCAGTCACTGGAAGCTACTTTAATAATAGGCTGCATTTGTTTATTGTTTACCAAGCATAAAATGCAGATATAGGATGTCACATCATCGCCTATTTTAGGAACAGCTTCATACAGGATTATGAAAAAAAAAAGTTTGTACAAAATGTATAAAAAAACATACATTTCAAAAGACACAATAAGCAATAATTAAATTCCGTAAAGGAATGTTATATCCTCCTTTTTATTGTTATATTATTATCATATATTACGTGAAAGCCCCATTGTGCAGTTAGAGTGTGGGTTGTGTGAACTCTTACCGGAGGACACGGATGAACCTGAGAGGCTTGAGTTACTGGATGCTGCCATCCCAGCCCAGTTTCTCGGCTCGGTTATTCCCGTTTGGCCAAGGTGCGCTCACAGCAGCTCGTCCCCGGCGGTGCCTCCATTTCACTCACGTCCCAATGTGCTTCACCTCTCACGGAACTCTCCCGGTGACTATTTCACGTATCGTATCGCCCGGAGCCTACCATCCGTCCGTCTGAATCCGCCGAACCTTCCCCTCGGCTGGCTGGCTGTCTGAATCCGCATCCACTGAAGGTGCTGCTGCCACGGATAAAAATAGTCAGACAAGCCACAGCAATATTCTCCGAGGATCAGTTTCTACAGAGTATTTCCTCGCATCGGACAGACAGAATGTGTAGGTCTAGATCTATGCCATGCAGAAATCAGCTATGGTTTCCATGTGCCACTTTAAGGATTCTGATAAACACACTACACTGCAGCGTAGACGCGCCTTCTTAAAGTGAAAGTTTGGAGAAGGGTTGCCAGATGTAAGCAAGCCCTGCCAAAAATAAGCCCAGAACTACATACTTCTACTCTGTTTGCAGGATTCAAGACAGACTGTTTGACTTAAGAACCAACTCTTATAGGAGAGTCATGCAAGGGTCCAACTGCCTGAACCAATTGTTACACCTTTAGAATATTTTTGATCAGATGTCATGTTATGTTCCAAGAGCCAGAATGAATGGCATGAATGGTCTTTTGAGCCATCTGGTGGAGATGGTTTGCCTACAATTTATGGGACCATGACAGATTAAAGTAAAATATAATTGTATTTGAGGCCTGTGTGAGATGTAGCACAGATTTTTAAGAGATATTTTGAAGCCTGCTTGATTTGATCAATGTCCCAGCCACAGCTCTACCTTATTCCTAAACTGGATGTTCTTGTAATGAGGAACAATGTGGGTTGATATGGGCTGTTATTTTAATTTTGATGGTGACCACAGGTGGCTGGTTGGATCCGTATTGCTTGAGTACTGTATATATGGTGTGATACCTGGAGTGGCAAAATTATTAGTGAAAGAATAGCACTCCCTTCTCTGTCATTACCACTGCTGAAGATGTCCAATGGCCAACAGATTAAGGTTGTGTGGTTTTAGTGGAGAGCTTTGTAACTAAACTGTAAATAAAGTATAGGTTACCAAAAGAGAAAAGAAGCATGCATTCAACATACCTCTTCAGCTTCAGCTAAATTGCTAATATGAAATCAACTACTAATACACAAGAGCAGACTGATGTGATGTATACCTGTCCTCACCTGTTCACATGAACTGTCATATCATGGTCCTCAGTGTTCCTTCCCGATGTGATTAGCTTCTCCATTCCCATGGGGAACTGCCTTTTAGGACAGAGGTGTCTGTGAACACAACAGTGAGCTTTTTTGGAGTCGTTCTGCCCTCTAGTTGCCATATGAATACCTGCATGCAGCTTGAAAATCCCAGGATTTACCACACTAAAATCACTGTTTGAGTTAGTATTTTTCTGATGAACACCGTGCATGTTGACTTATTGCGTTTTTCGCTTGCCATGATACAGTGGGAAAAGCTCAGGTGTAGGCCACTTGATTAAATGAATGACAGGTGAATCGTCTGCTTCAGTGTCTACATTTTTGGTAACGTCTCATTCTACTGGGTCAGACCGCAATCATCGTAATGATATATTGGTAACACAGGTGCTTTTCCTACTTTGAGAACTGCAGTAAAGAAACGACCTCTAGTACTAAAAATAGCCTAAACAGTGAGGTTACTATACATGGTAGTTTTTTTTAAATTGTCTACCACATCCAGTAGACATGATGGGTCCGTGTACGTTTTGTTAGTTTGATTTTTCGTTTAAACCAAAAGCCAAAAAACGGAAATACCAGCCTTTTTTCGTTTTAAATTAAAAACGAATAAACGTGAAACTAAAGCCGTTTTCTGAATAAAAAAAACGGATAACAAGAAGACCTAATTAAAAAAACGGTCAGGTTTTGGTTTTTGATAACAACTTCTTTCAATTTTCCGTTTTGTATTGAAGAATGAAGAAAAAAAGTCCGGTGGACCGGAAGTTAAAGAACATATTTCAAAAATAAAAGACACGAGGCAATGCTATAAAAGTTCAATCCTGGAACCCAGAAGTCTGACGACGACCCTTGGCTCCCCTGCTTCCGGCGCCAGTGCTGACGAGGATACGTTTATTTCTGCATTCACATGCAGATATGCGTTTATAGAGAATACAAGTAATCTTTGCATAACTTTATTTCGCTGACTTCCGGTTTGTACTGTGTCGGCAAATCCAGTGTCCAGCTTTTCACTGTGTGACAACGTCATGTTTGTTGCATACCTGCAAGATTTACCTGTGACAAATGTCAGCGATGTGAACAGAACTGTCGCCCTACTTTCACCTGCACCCAGCAGCAAGCGGGATAACGATATCTCATACAGTTCACACAGTAATGGAACCGTTGTTAGGCATTATTTTGTCCAACCACTCTCTACATTATGAATTTGACGTTTGTCTAAACTGCTAAGAAGCTGACAGCTGAGTTAGAACAGAAAGACATGCAGGCCATAATCACTAGACGCTCAAAAGAAGAATGTGTATGTAAGGCTTACATGAACTGAATTGAAACACTGTCCATTAGTTGATTAATAAACAAGACATTCAAGTCAAAGTTTTAGGCATTTTCATTTGTAGCACGCTGTAAATATGGACTATGAATGAACACATGCAATGTGGAAACACACACATAGGTTTATTCTCAATACTCATACAGTATCAGACACAATGACTTTACTGAGAGTGAAGATGACATGAACATAGTTACTGTATGGTACTGAAGACAAAATACAGTATATTGCATCTACCTCTTCCTCTTCCTCTAACTCTCTCTCCAAAATTGGCCTCCATTGTTGTGCACAACAACGTGTTCAAGCTCAGGTTTCTAAGTGATATAATTTTTAAATGTGCATTCTGGGTGCAGGGACTTGATAATTGAGTGTGGTATATCAATAGCAGTGTTTTGCAAACAACACACAGGCTGTCGGTTTTGAATAACGTGTCTAATGTAAATAAGAGTGTGTAGTTATTTGGTCAATCCAGTGTCCAGCTTGTCGCTGAGTGACAACGTCATGTTTGTTGCGATACCTACAAGATTTACATGTGAACATAAATGTTCAACCTACTTTCACCTGCACCCAGCAGCAAGCGGGAGAAATATTTCAAGTTGTACTGGTGAAGTTACGTCTACAATTAGGAGGGTGAGTAATTAAGCTTTTATTTCTGTAACGTTAAACGTATTGTTTTTCTTCAACAAATTTGACGACATTGAAAGACAGAGGAGGGACAGTATGTGCATTCTCAATGAACATACTTCGTATTTTTTATGTGTCAGGGTGTTATGCTACAGGCTACAGGTCCATGAAGGTCCATGAAGACAGGACCCACAGTGAGTTCAGGATGAAGTGTTGTTACTGTCTTAGTTACCGTCTGGTTAAACATGTTCCTGGGGATTCGGCTCATTTTAGACAGGTTAGAGACTGTCAATAGTAAAACATAAACTTTAATATAACTAGCACAAGGTAGCTACTCCCCAGAAATTGACTGACTGGTCTGTGTGTGCTGCACAGAGGTCACAGTTGTGTTTTGTTCCGGTTCTGTTGTTAAAGAGTCTTTTTTCTTCGTTCTAAAATTAAATCAATTAATATCAGTATGTATAAGAAGTTTTAAGTATAGAAAACGTTAAAAATATATGACTTCCTATTTACTCCTTAAAATAGCACAATGTTATGAAACCAAAATGTTACCCTAAAAGAAATAATACAAAGCAAACTGAATACGTATTAATTTTGTTTCTCTTCTTACAGGTGGGGCTGAAAGACTCGACCCCCGTTGAGCTGGAGCATCATGGCTGCAGGTGTGACGTGTGTTACTCTCCTGCTCCAGTCACATGACTCCCAGTGGGTCCCCAGTACTCAGCTGTACAGAGCAGCAGTGGTACAAACCAAGAACTGTGGTGTCATTGTAATTCAAATACTAAAACTACACACTCATCATGTCTCATACACACATCATCTCATCATTTCTATATCTTGCTTAAACCCACAGTGTGTAAAACCAGGCCGGTAGAGAACATGGCTGGGATGTCCGCAATCCAAAGCAAAGAACAATGTCAGAGAAAGTAAAGTGAGAGATTAGTAGTTATGTGAAAGTAAGCTATGCACACAGAATAGCTTATGTGTTGATGTCTCTGAGAGCTGAGAGCTGCTGGATCTGTCTGCCCTCAAAGTGCCAGGGATCTACAAGGACTTCACTGCTGCTTCTGCACCATAGGCATCCCTGTGAGGCGCCACTAGTGGACTCTGCTCTCGGTAAAGCTCAAGCTGGCTGTCCCCTTGTCATATGAACATCACCATGAACCCCAGCTAGAAGTCACACCGCACCTCACCACCATGCTCCACCACGACCAGATCTATCACTGTTCCTGGCACAGACTACAACCATGCTGCATGCGTTTTTTTGGTTGTTGTTGTGAACATCAACAGCTGCCCTTAAAGGGGATAGGGTTCTGGTCCCTTTTGAAGTGGGGTAGTATGTGGTAATATATATCCATAAGCAGTGTACACCTACAGTAGTCTGTGGAGAAACATACAGGACCCCGGCACAGCAGAGCCATGTACTCGCTGAGGACGTGGCAAAAGCAAACATTATTTTATCCACCCAAAAAAGCTACATCAGTTTAAGTGTGATTAATGTCTAAAAAAGCAATTTCTTTCAGGTGGGCCTTCATTTTTTGGTGGTGGATAAAAAGGTTTTGCTTCTGTTTTTTAGAAAAATGGGTAATTTGGTTGGCCTATTACAGCTTTGTGCAATTACCAGACACAACTGGTACTTTTGGGCCACAATTATTAAACTCCAACTTGCCTTTCATACTATTGAAACAGATAATGCTAATCATAAGTCACATTGTTCTGCTTTACACTAAGTTGATATTCCAAACACACTTTTGCCGAAATAACTACTCCTCTTATTTAGCCTACATTAGATATTTTATTCAAACCAATAGCCTGTGTTGTTTGCAAACCACTGCATTGAAATACCACACTCATTATCAAGCCCCTGCACCCAGAATGCAATGTTAAAAGCCATGTAATCAGTTAGATCACTTAGAAACCTGGAGCTTGAACACTTTGTTGTGGCCAACAGGGAGGGTCCACTTTTGGAAGAGAGAGTTAGAGGAAGAGGAAATGCAATATACGCTGTATGTTGTCTTAAGACCATATTAGTAATATGTTAATGTCATCTTCACTCTCTAAAGTCTTGGGTCTGATACTGATGAATAAACCTATTTGGTGTTTCCACATGCATGTGTTCATTCAAGTCCATATTCAGCGTGCTACAATATGAAAATGCCTACAACTTTGACTTGAATGCTTGTTTATAGTCAACTAATGGACAGTGGATTCAATTCAGTTCATGTAACCTCTACAAACACATTCCTCATTTGAACGTCTAGCAGTGGATTATGGCCTGCCATGCTTTCTGTTCTAAGCTCAAGCTGTGAAGCTTCTTAGCAGTTAGA